CGGAGTCGTCACATGTGGTTGCCGCAAGCCCTCCAGACGCTCCTTCGTCGAATCCGCCGGTCGCCGCTCACTCTAGCCCGCCGTGTGTTTTATTGTGAAAGCGAAACTTACTTTGTTTGGTCTTCCAAAAGAGGACACGACTATAAATCGACAGGGCATCATCACAGTATGGTAGGGGCGTAACATTTCCGTCACACGCTTGAGGTATTCGGCCAATCACAACGCATTGGATAGCTGGCCAATCAGAGCACACCTCGCTTTTCAGACCGATGAGCTTTGTAAAAATCGAGGCGTTTCAGAAAGGCGGGGCATAGAGGAGAAACAATAATGTACAGTATGTGGAAAATAATGTGTTTTTTGAACCTTAAACCGCATAAACACATTTCATTACACCAAATACACAAAATAATGTTCTTTTTAGCAACATCATATGACCCCTTTAAGAAAAGTAGGAGAAGCCACTGAATACAATAATTTTCATATGTAATAAATTACTTGCGCCTCAGAGCGAGCAGACGAAACACAATAAATGCGGTCATTGCTTTCAAAGGTGGATACCTGCTGTTTGGGAACGCAGTCATGCAAGACAGTAATTATACAGAAATACTTTGACGACAGACTTTGCTCAGGCATTTCAGAATGACCAAAACAACATATAGATGCTGTGAACGAGATCGGTCCGCTGCTAGTCAAGTTATCCCATCTCATAGCGCAAAGTCACATGACTTTTTCAATGCGCATGGAGGAATTTATTTGGTAAATGTGTTTCCATCGTAGTTTATGCACATTTTTTCTTATCGGATAAACAATTTATCCTACTCAATAGTGCACAAAAGTTTTATTTATGCGCATCTTGGCGTTTCCATCCAGCGTTTTTTATGCAATATTCCAAAATGCGCATAAAAATAGGTGGATGGAAACATAGCTACTGGTTCTTGCAGAAGCTCAAGCGTGCTGCGTAAAACACACAATAATGAACCTCATTGTTTCGTCAAGCAAGCATGTTTGAGCTTCAGTTTGCCATAACTGATGTGTGTGTTGATTATTGTTTATATGTGAATAAAAGCCTAAATTAAATATGTTCATCATATAAAGTGATCGAGTCGCTTCAGAAAATTTGAACTAAACTGCTCGATTCATATGGATTTGTTTTATGATCTCTTTATTAATTTTTTTAAGAATCAAAGTGGTAGTTGCATAGACTCAATGGAGGGACATAAATCTCTCAGATTTCATTAAAAATATCTTCATTTATGTTCTGAAGATGAACAAATGTCTTATGGGTTTGGAACAATATGACGCTGAATACATGATGACAGAATTTTCATTTTTGGTAAAAAACCTAAATAGGTAAATAGGTTCAATTTTGATTTCATGTTGACTTGAATGGCTCTTTTATAATGGCTCTGTTGAATGCTCAGGTGTCCTGGTTCCCACCTGCTCCAGGTCCACTGGGACGCCCAGGCCAGCCAGGTGCAGGGTAGCGAGCAGGAGAGAGGAGTGCTGGTGACCCCAGCAGGAGGACACCTGAAGCTGCTTAATAACACTGGACATGAGATCCAGACCACCATCAGATTCCTCTGCTTTAGATATTGTCTGTACAGCATCCTGGAAAATCACTCGGCCTAGACGTAGCAAATGTCTGCTGCTGTTGCCCAGACCTGAAGAACAAAGCAGGAGGAACCTATCCACCAGGAGTCATCATAGATCACATTATAGATGATGATATTAAACCACTGCTACCTTTTATGAGCTCCTGATGCTCTTCTAGAAGCCTCAGGGTGAGATTGAATCTTCTTTGCTGGTCCCACGACCAAGTTTGAGTGCATTCCCTATGACCAAACTTCCTCTTAAGGCCTCCATAATAAGACTCACAAACATCTGAGCACCAACAACACAAAGTATTTAGGAACTGTTCACCCAAAAAGAATGTTTTGTTTACCTGTTTAATCGTTTACATCTGTTGTCCCTGTAATTTGAAGGGCCAAAACTCTCAAATCTTGGTGCTTGGCACATTTAAATGGGGTGTACCAGGTTTGTTGCAATTGATACCAACTTCAATCCAATCACAATAAAGTATGTTTGAAAAATCTGACCCCAAATGAGATTTAAGTATGAGTAAAACTTTTTATTTTTTGACAAAAAATTATCACACTATTATCAACAATAGCTATTTTTCATTCAAAGTTGCAAATTTAACTATACGAAAAATGGAAATAAGACAAACATTTGCAAATAATGCACTGTTTCCATTTCAAAGTTGTTGCTAACTGGGAAACTGGTGCAAATGAGCAATAATGCAAATGGAAGTTGCTGCAGTTTTCTTGAGTTTCAACGACAAATCATTTTGATGTCTGATTTTGGCTCAGGCATTTCAGATTGATTAAAACAACATTTGAGTTGGTGTGCAATGAGATTGGTCTTCTGATTAGTCCAGTTATTCAATTACATGATCTGTCGAGAGCTTGAGACAAAGTCACATGAGTTTAAGTCTAGATTGTAGTCACATTCATTGTAACCAACCTCTAGAGATGTCTCGGTTCTGTCTCATTGCTTGCAGATAGTCTTCAGTAACATGTCTCATTTCCTCACAGTGTCTGTGGAGTCTGTCCAGCTCCTTTAGCGTCCTAACGGGAGATGGGGGGTTTGTCACCTTGAATAGAAATTATACAAGATATTATCGCATAAGAATGTCTGAATGCATGCTGCATCGTGATTAATATTGGCATAATAAATTGGTTTTGTCATATGCATTGATCTATTGATAAGAGAGGACTCACGTTTTCTGAGCCTAAACGATAGTATCTGATTGGTCCAATATAGCCATGAAACCCCTGCATGTAGCTGCATCCACCAATCACAAAATATCCTGATGTGTCATTGAATTGAACCGGCTGACGAAAACTGAAAAAAGAGAAAAGAATTACAGTTTTACAAAACATGATCTACACTATAAAAATGGCAGTAAAAAGGATTAAAAACACTAAAAATTAAAAACATTTAGTTGAATGTTTACCTAAAACTAGAGGGAAAAAAAATCTGTCATTGGAACAAGACAATATACTTAGACTATTGAAAATTATATTAATTCTCTGAAAATAATTATATTTTATTCAATTTATTTCTTGGTTAAATTAATATTATTTTATAGATATTTATAGATATTATTTTACTGG